AAAAAAAAAAGACAAAAAGGAAAAAAAAAAAAAAAAAAAAAAAAACACTGGCTCTTAAAGTTCCACTCAGAAGTGACACATGTCCTTTGCTCAGATTTCAGGCAAAGCAAGTCACATAAGTAATTGCAGAATCTACTCCAAAGAAAGTACTAGTTTAAGTAGTAATGTAGTTCTCACCAGAAAAAAATGTACCATAAATCTGTAATTATTTTGCCTGAATTCCCTTGGTTCCCTACTTCACTTCACAAGTGAAAAGCAGAAACCTAAAAGCAGAAACATATTGCACAAATGAGGAGTCAAAAACTGAGACAAAGGTATGCGGTTGCAAAATGGCCATTTATTGCCTACAGGGGAAGGAAAGGGAGGGAGAGAAGGGGAAGTACACAGGTGCAAGGAAACAAGCATATATTTAGCCCTATACATCATGTGTGAGCAGTACCCAATCTCCAAAATGGAAAAAAGTATTTTGTCATCTGACATAGTAGTTAAGGTTCTTAAGCACCTCCCTTCTGAGCTGCCACAAGATTTAAAAGGCAGGACTGCTTTGTTTAGTCAATGTTCATATTAATGAAAAAATACTACCACCCAACTGTGTCCTTTTGCACGCACATTTTGTACAGTGTCTACTGTGAAAAACATCTCAGCTGAGCAGTTTGGTCAAGATTCAAACTCATCAACTGTTTAATAAATAGAAAAATAAAGCAGCTGGTGATTTTGTCAGAGAGAATGTGTTCAGTAAGAGTAAAACCACTTTCTCCGGGGAAAGTGGAAATGTTCATCCTCCTCAAAATATTCCAAGTATTCCTATTGAACTCTATACCTCAGCTTCTCCTGGATGAAAGAATTGTTTGCATTTGGACAACTGTACGAATGCCCGTAGTGCACTTCTCAGTGCTGCTGGTGTTTAAGAAATTTGCCACTCACAACACTGAACAGTTCCAGATCCAGTGTGCAGTAACACAGCCATCCAAACCCCTCTCCCCCAAAAGTTGGCAGAGCACCGCTCAGGAATTTCACAGGTAAGGGAATATATTTTTAGCAAGTTAAGCACAGAGAAAGAACAGTACAGTTTCTGAATAAATACAAAGCCAGATACTGCATCACTTACTGCATCAAAATTGAAACAAGTAGCAGGATACTAAGTCTGTTCAAAAAGAAGCAAAGCCATTGTTTGACACGTCAACACTGAGCCAATCTTGTGAGTTCAGATAATTTACATATAACAAATTGATAGCTTGAAAGAAAACACATCAGTAATTTGAAATTAACGCAAAACTGAAACGAGCAAGAAAGGACCACTTCAGAGAGAGCTACCATGATTCTTATGGTTTAGAGTTAAGTGACACACAAACAGGGAAATTACCTAAATTAAGGGAGATTGTTATAACAAAAATAACTACTTACAGGTGCCAAACTATGCCTTCTGAAAGATTCTGAAAGCTGCACATACCGTGCTACCATGCCAAGAGTCATATCACTTGGCATTTGCATACCCTTTTCATAATGTTATTTCTGATGACATACTTCTAATTTCAGCTCAATACAACATATGATGTGCCACAAAAAATTAACATTTAATAGTCAGAAATGTCTATTTCATATGCTTTGAAAGTGAGAGCTATTTTACTTAAAAATATTCCATTACTTCAACGCTATGTTTGCTGAATGAAAACTTCAACACACTTTTTTTCCTTTGGTTCCAAGAATAACGCAAGTCTAACCAAACTTATGTCAAAAGAAATTACTAACTAGGTTAATAAAGCTTGCTTCTCTTGGTATCTCCCTATTTCTTGTTGTGGAACTTGTGATTTAACATAGAAGTTTACATAAAGAAGGTATTTTGTTAAAACAAGAAATACGCATGCTGTCCCTTACCACCTTCCTTTTGTGTTCAGAACATCTTGCAGTAGAGATATAAGGGTTTTTCTTTTTCCCCTTAAGCTTTTAGGTGACACATAAAATAAAAATGGGCATATCACTTTATAAAGTGAAAGATGCTCTTGGGATCTTTCTTAAACAGATTATAATTTTGGTAAAAGGCCAGCTTAAAGATGTACTGATTTACTTATGTTTGAATTTAAATTTGGTGATTATGATGCTATTACATAATTAAAATTGCTCAAAGCAACCATAAGCATAAAAGTTCTCATCTGTCTACAAATTCAAAACTTTAGTTGAAGTTCTTGGCTTAGAAAAATAATTCTAACTTCCCCAATTAATTTGTCTGTCTACAATTCACAGAGTTCTACAAACATAATACAATTCAAAAGGAAAGGGGTAAACACATCTACACATTAGAAAGTTAATTTTTTCTGAAGAGGAGGGCAGGTGGGAGAAAGAGAAAGAGAATACTTTACAAATGTGAGAATTCACATTTCTGTCAAAATATATGTATAAATACTATTTTGAAAATGTGCCATAGTCTTCACTTGCAATAAAACCATTATCATAGGAAAAACTAAAGTTTTCTGTGACAAAAGCAACTGATTGGTCAGTATATTTTGCAAAGCTGTTAAAAATATCTCAGGAACTCAGAATATAAAAGCTTAGAATGAAATAAATATTAGAATTGTCAATTTTTATTGCTAGAAAATCTAGCCTTGCATTAGGAATGACAAACCATATGCCTCTGGTTCCTTCAAAGAACATATTTAACCTATTTTTCCTTGTGCTTTCTCTACTCTTTGCCATTTGATATCAAAAGTACAAATGGCATTAGTGATTTTTAGAAATTCTTGGAAATGCAAATACAAACTTAAATTTTTATCCATTTAACAATATATACTTAGGAGGCAGAAGTTTTAAATGGAACACAACGTTTGCCCATGTTCCAGTTTTAATGTACCACATCCTCAATTCTAAAACATTTTACCATAGAATCAAGTGATATGAGCCTTACAAATCTTTCAACTTTCTCCCTTGCTCTTCTGTGAATTTATATAATTTTAAGACACCAAAAAATAGGGGCATATAAGAGCTTTATATTTCTGCAAACTACAAAACTAAAATACAGTGGCTTCTTTAATACATTCACACAGGATGCTTATTAGTAAAATTAAATATCTGCCTAAGAATATCAGAAAAGTAATTTGAAAAGAAAGCTTGGAACAAGGCAAATGGGAGAGGGGAAAAAGCTGGTCTCAGAACCCATTGTGCCATACCTGACTTTAACATGTGATATTCAAACAAACGTTCACACACCTTGTACATCAAAGAAATAAAACAAAAATATTCAGCTATGTCATACAAAATTTTTTTTTTTACATAAAACATCATAAATCTTGAACAGATTTACTATATCTCAATTCTAAAAAGTTGCCTATAGAATGGTGCTGGGATTCTGATCTCTGCTTGCTTTTAGGCAGTGCTGTTGCTTAAAAGTTGACACCAGGCACAATATTTTAAAACAAAGTTAACGAGCAAGGAGCAGTAAGTGGATTTGAGCCTTTCCCAGATGTCAGTCCTGAGGATGCTGCAATATTCCCCATCAAAGTGTGTAAAGCTATGAGGCAGATACCAATGCCTGAGAAAGTGGGTGACTTGACATGCAGGATTTGAGCCTTTCCCAGATGTCAGTCCTGAGGATGCTGCAATATTCCCCACCAAAGTGTGTAAAGCTATGAGGCAGATACCAATGCCTGAGAAAGTGGGTGACTTGACATGCACTTGTATGACTGTTACAATGGCAAACAGTGGTTTTCCCTTCCTCAAACAACACTGTTTTAATAAATTTAAAGAACAATCCAGTTCTTTGACAATGACATCATATTTAACAGTTTTAAAAAAATAATACATCACAATCCAAAAATGCCTAAATTTTCTTTTATCTTCAGATAAAATATGCAGCATAAAGCTTTTTAACTTAATTCTGAGAACTAGAAAGTATATTAGCATATATATTTTACTTTCATTGAATTTATACCATATGTCATTCACCTCTTCCTTTTGGCTTCTCACTGCCAAAGTTCCAAATGGCATGAGTTTTAACAAGACAATGCTGAGGACAGCAGCATTTCTGATCATCTGAATTGGCAGCTCAGAACAGATACCACTCCTTTTACAGAGGGAACATAGGGTGAAGGGTGTGTGAAATTCGGGCAATGGGCAAAAGGGAAACCGTGCACATGAAATTTGGGTTACCATGCCCCAAGTGTGGGTACCACCTAAAACATAACACAATTACCTACTTCAACAAAGCTACTACTAACATTACTAAAACCACATTAAAAATACACAGGATAATGAAGGGTTTGAAAGAGTGCATTTGGAAGCAGAGAGAACCCAATTACACACCTTCCTGCAACAGAGTGCCTTGATCATACACAAAATAAACTTAAGCTGTTTACAATGTTTCCCAATTTTTTTTTATTTTTTCCCTCTACATTTAACTATTTAAAAAGTTTTTTATTAATAAATGGGCTCCTCTGTGGTTCATATACAATCATAAGTGAACTTTAAATTCCATTTTATACAAACATCTCAAAAAATATTGGGAGTGAAGTATGGTAAGAAATATTGCTCACATTGCTAATAAACATGCGTGTATGAAAGGAGGAAAGTATTTTGTTAGTGCATATACCTCCAGAGCAGAAAACCCACCCAAAAGATCTAAAATAAAACATACAGTAGCTGATTACAAAAAAAGGTAATGTCCACAAAATTAAGTTTTTCATGCTATTCTACTTTCCAGTACTATGCTTCACGTAATCAATTTGAATGGCTAGATGCTGGATGCTTGAGGTATATAAGAAGGAATACCTGCACGTTGAGGAAAATCTGTCATCTTTAAGGGTTTCTTTTTATTTTACTCTTGTACTTTAACATTTCTAAAAGAATATTTTATTTACATCAAACTTCACTGAACTACAATGACATTCCAATTACAGTAGATGACAAACAATGCCTCTATCACTAGGCACTTTTAAAAGGGAGTTTAGGGTTTACAGAACCCTTCTGATGCAATCCCACATAGATATTACATCATCCCACCACCCTCATCCCACTAAAATTACCCTTCAGGGGAAATATTATCTTATATAGCCTGATTAATTTACTACGGGAGAAATTAGTACAAAACGACCAAAGAAAATCCATCAGTTAAGACTAATAAAACAGCCTAAGATGTCAAGTTTGAAAGAGACAAATTGTATATATTTAAAACTAATAAAATTAAATAATTTAAATTTGACCTGTACTTTATATATTAGTGAGACACAAATATAGGCTATTTTCTTTTAAAATTTCATTCACATAATGGAAAATTTGTTTATTAAAAATATCACATTTTGAGACTAGAAACAGTAAAGTGCATGAAAAGTTTAAAATATAAATTTCAGAAAACTCTTATAGCAGCAAAAAAGCAGAATAAAGAAAAACTTAAAAACACAGACACAACCTTTTCCTGTTACTGTGCCATAATTAACATCAAGTAGCCGACCAATTTTTTCCCCCAGAAAATGGTATTATGTTCACTGCCTCTTGAGTCACAGATTTTCCACCTGGCCCCTCTTGGGCAAAAAAAAAAATAATTAAAAAATGATTCCAACATATCTAAAGGCATCCAACAGTTGGGAACAAAACTGGCAGCTTCTACCTGACAGAAATTCAACCCTGACAGACAATGGTAACAAAGATTAAAAGCATATGGTGGCCATTTGGCAGCTAGAGTCAGGAAAAATGATCCAAGGTTTTTAACTACTGCCCCAAATTTGTTCTTTCCCCCCTCAAAATCCATTCCATTGTGACCTCAAAAAAACCAAAACAAACAGCGACTTAACCTACTTTGGGAAACACATGAAATGTGTGTATGGCTTTCCCCTTCTGAAACTTTGATCAGTGTCTTTTTATTGGTTTTTTTTTTTTAATGTTTGACTGTAACAGCAAAAATGATAAAGATCATATAATATCTGTTTTTCCAGCACAACCAGACAGAAAAGAAGCGTGGATAGGAACAATGAAAAACACTAGACACTAATTTTGTGGTCATCCTCAACATACCAAATTCTATTTTCAAAATATGTGGCAGTATAATTTAGCTGTTGTTTTCCTTTTCAGAAAATTGGAGAGACAGGCTTAGAATTAATACTTCTAATAAAGTTATAACTAAGAAGGGGACAAAAAAACAGAGCGAGTCCTCAAAAAACAAAAAACAAAAATAACTACTGTTAGGCAAACAAACTCATGTGCTGTTAAATATTTGATTTTGAAAACATATTGTGCAACCATCATTAATTTCTCAAATTTTCTTATTATGGCTAGATACTATATTATAGTTTATGTACAGATCAAGCAAATTTAAGTGCTTTGTTAATGTGCAAATGACTTGGGGAGCCAAAAGTCAGTTTGTCATAAAGGAAAACAGAAATTCAAGAAAGTTTTCCCTGCAAAGACATGCCATCACTCACTTTAAAATCTTATATATATAGTTTTTAAAAACTGCCTTTTACAAAAATGGTTGGCTTATTTGAAACTGTTCAAAAGAAAGTATCTGTTCTGCAAAAACAAATACACTGTTGTTGGGCCTCAAATTGGTGATTTATCAATTATCAATGCTGACTCCTAATGTAATATGAAGAAGATCCAATTTAAAAACATGTTAAACTAAAACTTTGAAAAGAGTAATACTTTGGTTCCAGCCCTAGTGCCAAATGATATCAATATGCACAAAAATATACAAAGTCTTATAGCAAACACATAATGAAAGGAACCTGAAGAAGCAGCTTAAAAGCCATACTTCACTCCTACATACTTTGATTTACAACTGTACAGGTCCATAGCAACTGATCCCCGTCTTGACGGGGCAGTACTCCACTACCTCCGATTAGGCAAGTGAACACCATTGACAAGAGGCAGGAGCGGAGGGTGGAGTTCAAGTTGTGTTAACAGTGAGAAGTGGTCTGAAGGGATGTGAGGGTGTGGACACCCAGTGATGTTGTTCTCAACCAGCCATTGAGGATCTAAAGGCCCCAGGACACCAAGCACGTTCATATGAGTCTTGGAATAGAAAATGTAGTCAATCACACCCTGGAAAGAGATTGGAGATTGGGAAAAAGAAAAATATATGTTTAGAAAAGAGAAAAACTCAAGATATATAAAGAACAATCCTAGTTTGTAAAAGCAAAATAACTGAGCAACCTATACTTTTGGTACCTATTGTCTTCTTGAAAGTGAGTAAAATAAGGCTCAAGTCTTCAATGGGTATTGCACGAAATAAAGGTGGCTCAACAGGGAAATACAACACCTTATGGGAATCATAAAGCCTTGCATCTATGCATAAGTGGTAAACTGAGAAGCTAAACACACCGAATTATGTCCAGGCATCTTTAGAATTGGCCTGCTTGGTTTAGTGAAATCTAATATGTCAGTATAAATATTAATGGAAACTTTACTAATTTTATCAGTTACAATAAATTAAAAATAAAGATACTTATATACACACATAATTACATGAAAAGGTATGACAAATTAATTATTGTAATGATAATGGCATTTTTTTTCAATTATTTGCACATCAAGATATCCAAACACATCTGAACAAAGTCATGGCCAAACATGTTTTCAGATTTGCTAATCCTAGCTCAGCTTTCCAGATTTGCTTCATACATACAAAATATTACACACAGCTTACTATTCTAATCTATTCTTTAGTTTAAAATACTCATTTTTACAAATCCTGTTATACTATATATACTGGATTTCCTTGCTGCATAAGGACACCTAAGTAAAAATATCAATTGTATCTTTCAGAGCGAGATGATTTGATTTGTCTGACCAGAAAGTCTCAAAACCAGCATGTCTTTATCATCCCAGGCTGTGTATACAAGAGAGCAAAGTCAAATTTCTTCCTATATAGTTCCAATCCAAATCAAAAGAGCCTGAGCCTAAGTAGGGAGAAATGTTTCCATACCTGGAAGTACCTATTTACAAATACTATACATAATAAGTTCTGGCCAGTACTTTAAATGGCATCACAATGTAATAAACTACTTTAAAAAAAAAACTTTTAATGAATTTTCATATTGTGAAATTTTGAAAACTACTACTTCAGTTTGCTGATTTTCATATAAGGACAAATCAATTCTTTTGAGAGAAAAGGCCTTATCCAACCTTACTTGACCACAAATTAAGGAACCTATTTGAGTCCAAGGGGAGGACTTTTGCTATTAATAATCCAAGTCTAAACAGTCAAGGAATATGATCACAAGATATTATTCTTTCAATTTGATGAATGCCTAGTTTTACAGTGAAATTTTGGGAAAAGAGTTAACAGATCAGGGTGGTTTTACTTCCCCTTATGAGACCACCCTTTGCTTCAACTATAAACAAAACACAAATGAAATACTCTCAATTACTTATGTTGAATAAAACTTCTTTTATCATTTTATTAGAGTGCTGTCATGCACATAAGCTACTAAAGTTATCAAATTCTTTGCCCCCAAAAATATGTTAAACACTCCAGAAAGTAAGATGTATTGAACTGGAGGCATGACTTTTAACTATTTTCTTGGTTTAAAACATGCAGAGTAAAAGCTCTTATCATTACCCTTAGTAAGGTCATGTCTGTGAATTCACCCAAATATATGTACATATATATATGTGGGGAAGACCCCTAACTTTAATCATATTCACAAAGGAGTTTATAGACTAATGATTCTTAAACTTTTGATTCAAACTTTTTTTTTAAGAACACTAAAATGTGGGAAAACAGTCTTTATATTTAGTGGAGACTATATTATACAAGTCTATAAAAGTGTATTTCTTTTTTTTTTTGTCTTTTTTCGTGTCCGGCAACGGATCGCAACCCTCAGTGTCGCACCCACACCGGACCGGGACCAGCAACGGGATCACAACCCTCGGTGTTGCGTCCATCCCTCGCTCAGCCAGTGAGCGGGAACCGGTCTGTATGTGGGATCCGAACCCTCGGCGGGAGCGCCGCCGCACCCCCAAGCGGCGCACTTGTAGCAGTGCGCCACCGGGCCGGCCCCAAAAGTGTATTTCTGAAAAAAGTAAAAACAGTGAAAATAGTTTATGAGCTAGCATTATGCTAAGCTTTGTTTTTTAAAAGAATGTGAGAAAATTATAAATTTCATAATGTAACACAGACAGGTTTACTACTTGACGTAATAGGAAAGCTGTGATCATATGTGGGGCTAAGGGTGGGGTGAGGAGCAGCAGTAGCAGGTCTAAATTAAGCTGTTTATTAAACTCACCTGGTCTGCAAGTAATGCTGAGAAAGGAGTAATTCTCCTAACTGCTTATCCTTCAATTTGCTCCAAATCAGTTCTAGATTAAATGAATCTGAGTTCTAAATACTACTCTTCTACATGTCAATCTTATTCACCAATCAAGAAAGTAAACAAATACTAAACCAGGTAAACAAGATTTAACAACACCCCACTGATACAATGGCAGACTACTGTGTTTGGATGTGGATTTAATGCTGATCACATGACATTTTATACTCGATGTTACCTATACTTTTTTTTACTAATTGCCTTCAATACTGGGATAGTTTTACCTGTGTAAAATACTGTTATAAAACTGAAAAGTTCATTGTCTGTTACTTGGACTAAAACCTCAATTCTCTCTAATCAGGTATGCCCTTAATTCATTCTCTGACCATCCTGCCTTCCCATCCCATTCCACCCTCTTATCCCATCCATCTATGCCATCAGCCTATTTACCTTCCCATATTATGCCACTCTCCCACTGATTTACAGCTCTGTCATTCTCTCTCATCCCATCCCATATATATAACATCAAACACACTCTGAACCAGGCATTTCTGTACCTCTTTGGACAATGTAAATGGCTCAATAAGTTTTTTAATCAGTTACTAACATGAATAAGATCTTTTGAAGAAACATCAACAAAAAATTTTAACAAATTCAGATGATTGAGGAAGAGAGCTTAGATTAATACCCCTAATTTTGTTTCTCTGATTTTTGCTGTATGGGCAAGGAACAAGTAACCTTTAAAAAAGTCTAGGTGAGGTAGAATGATTTATTTTTTCCCACTTTTTAACTACACACACACCAAAACAACAAACAGTTGTAGAATTATCACTTATTTAGGAGAACTTTATTACAGGTTTTCTCAGTATGCTGGCAGATGTATTATATATCACTACAGTCACAAGGATAGAATTTAACCTACAGTAAACTGTGTATCGATAAATCTAGAGGTGTTCCTTTAAACTTACACTAGACTAGTGGTGTGCTATAGGCAGCCCGTACTAGCTTTTTTAGCCTCTCTTCCTAACTCTGAGTTCAACGAGATCATGCTGGGAGCACACAATCTGCTGCACTGCACAGAAATCAGTGAACACTACAAATCAGGGCTGCTTTTCCCAGAAAACTGGTTATTAAGTATTTACCAGTACATCACTCATATGTGTAACTAGAACAAAGTGAACTATTACTGAATAGAACTGTCTACCCTAGTAGCAAAAATTCTAAATTAATTCAATTTCTAAGCAATTTTTTTTTTACTTCATGATTACAAAAGCTGATTAATAACAACTACAAATTTATTTCTTGAAAAGGAGCTGACAAACACAAAAAATGGAAAAATGGTTATTGGAGATGTGAAAGAGCCCATTTCATAAATTTCTTTTGGTATTTTATTAAATTCCCTCTAGGCTTCTTATACCAAACCACTTTCTAACCTCTGCATTTCTTCAAGATTGTGTAAGATTTTAGTACAGATGCCTGAAATGACAGACAGTCAAAAAGAGCTACAACAGGAGCTACAGGTAGGCAGTGATCAGAAAATTGGCAATGGAAAATGGATTAATTACAGAATCAATCTTTCTAAAGAATGGCTGGTTTTGTACAATGAGCCCTCCAATTTTTTTTTTCTTACTTTGCAAAAAAAAGCCTTCCTTTTCTCTTTTTAAGTTAGAGTGTTCCATTGCCTGGGAATATATTAGTACTCATGGATATAAAATAGGCAACCTTCTCTAACTGCATCCCAAAAGAAACCTGGAAAATTAAAAAATAATTTTTAAAAAGTACTAAGAAAATTTTGAGAGAATACTATATAAACTAATTCAAGGTCAGTTTAGCTATATTAGGTGCTTATTATTTGGGTTCTTGCTGAAAGTAAGGGATAGTATGGACAGGTGAGGATTTAACTATATTAATACATAAAAAGTGCTTGGAAGAGTACCTGGCACATAGTAAGCATTTTAGAAGTTTTTCCTATTATAAACATTATTTGAAATTTGACCAAATGAGGGTTCAAAAAGAATTCGCAAGACAACAATAATAACCACAAAACCTAACAAACATCCTTCTGTTTAAAGGCATACTTATCCTAGACATTTTGAGAATCAAAAAATTCCTGAATACAATTAATCATAAATATAGAATTTACACCTTTCTTGTCACATGCTTGTATTTGAAATAATTTCTACACCAGCCCAGAGCTGCCACTCACTTTGAAATCAAAGGTGTAATTGGTGTAAGGCATCAAGTTATTTTCATAAGCGCTCTTAAGTTGGAAGCCATGTGTAATTCTCCCTTCTGAGCTTCCATTCTTTCCATTGCAGCTGAAGTTCATAAGACACTCATTGTACCTTAGTTCCTTGAAGTCTTTATGGTTGTCAGCTACTCCTCCATTGCTTAAATATTCCACAACACCTAGTAGAATAAAGAAGAAAGGAACACAACCATTTAGCATTTAGTCCTTACATAAGCATTCACAGCCAAGACCTGTTGCCAAGTGGATGCATCAGGTTCAGAGTGGTTTTATTAGGCTAAGCCATATGAAACTTTTTTCTTGTTAAAAAAAAAAAGATCAAATAGCAACTTCATATGATTCGACTGAATTGAAGGGTATTTCCCTATTTCAGAACAAAGTATCAAGATCACCCAGAAATATCCTCAGCTTTCTTGGTGGTTCTTCAGGCTAAAGATGAATCCCAGGTCCTAGAGTAGCATTCACCAGGAAGGTCTTGACCTAAATGTCTTTGGCATATCATTCCAAACCACAATCTCTTTAGTATTTCCCCACTCTAGGCAGTAAATCAATGACTTTGGGAATATATAAATGTAGTATACATAATAAAAAATCATTTACAACAAATGCATCTTCAACATTTCAACATCTAGTGTCTGCTAGAAAATATCGTTATTTTGAGCTTAAGTGAGTTTTCTCAGTTTGTCATATGCTAGAGGTGTACCACTTGGCCAAAAATATTAGATATGTCCAGTATCACAACCCTTACTTAGTATGATGACTGGTGAACTCTGTTAGAGTCATCTCTTTCTGTTTGTGATCAGGAATGATAGTAAGATAGAATGAGTAAGTGATGAGCACAATGTCAACATGTGTGAAGAGCTCAAAAAGTTATTTATCTAGCATTTACTACATGCCAGACACTGTCCTAAGTGCTTTACACACTGAAACCTCACAAACAACTCTATGAGGTAGATAAACTGATTATCCCCTTATTAAAAATGAGGCACTTAGTGACAGATTGCATAGCTCGTAAGTGGCAGAATGGAGATCCAGCCCTGACAGTCTGGCTCCAGAGTCAGCTATTTTGTGCTGCCAAATGACAGCTACCTGCCTTAAATAAATCAAACGAAATAGGAGGAAAACTTGTATTTGAGAGCAAATCAACTCAGACAAAGGATTAAGAAAAGAGGATGTGATTAAGATGCCAATTGGGCTAGGGGTTGAAAACAAACATTTGTAAACAATGATTTCAGCATTTATTTGCTAAGAAGAGAAAGATATTTTCCAGCTTAGTAACTTTTGAATATTTCAAGTGTAGACATTAAGGTTATTTTATATTTATTGTTGAGTGATTATTTTAAACAATTTTAAGTAGCCTCGTATAGTAGTGATAATATACAAAATTTAGAATATGCTTTGGTAATAGCAAAAGAGTAATTCTTTAATGTTTTACATTTGAAATTTAGTATCTAAAATGCAGAACTGATTTTTACAAAGATCTAAAATAAGTTTGGGATATAAAATAGTTTAGTGGAGCTCAAGAAGTGAAATCCTAGGAGAATTTGATTCTTCTGTACCTAGTATCAGTATTCAAATATCATTTAATGAATTTACTTAAAAGTTACCAATGTTATTACTCTAGGTAGCTAGCTACCCGTGAATATTTTCTGGTTGCCCCTTCAGATCATCCTTCTCCACAGCACTCTGTGCCCAGGAGGCTGATCTTTACTGCATCAAGTGCAAAAACCCCTCCCCCACTACAGCTTCTAGCTGGATTTGGTTAATGGGCAGCCCTGGCAGGAGATCAGAGGACAAGAGAAGAGTAAGATAGGGGTACAAATTTCCGTTTCCCTTCTTGCTGATTTACCAGGGATTGAATGCATTATTCAGTTCAAAACCATCACTCCTATTATATGTCCCGCTCCTACAACTGTAACTACCATTTTCAAGTTCTGATGACAGCTCCCACCACTTTTCTCTTTAGGTGTAGGAGTGGAAAAGGGACCCTAACTCCCCTAGTTAGTGCCAAAGGGGACTGCATCATTCATTGTTTTATTATCCTTAACCCCACCCACACCTTTGGAAATAGCTTCTTTATTAACCTTTCTTCAATTACTCTGTGTCCCATCCCTGGGATTCTCACCGATACATTCCCTAATTTAAAAGATAAATTCTCTACTCAAAAGTAGCTGGCTTTTGAACTAATAGTAAAAACAAAATTGAAAGCAGCAAGGAAATGATGCTATAAATACCTGAATCTGGCAATGAGTTAAGATCTGCACATAGCACCAGCGGGATGGAATTAGGATCTGCAGTTGGGCTGCCAGGCCTACTAGAGGCTTTCTCCAGGATGTTTTTAACCTCTGAGACAAACATCATGGTCTGGATGAGTTTCACATCAGAATACTCTGGGTCCCAATGCATGTGGGCATTTGCCACTATAAGCAGCTGTTTGTCTGCAGCATGAATAGGCTTCATACCTAAATTTAAACATTATAAAAGATAAGGTTATGCTTTATTTTTCAAGAAAAATAGTGTCTTAAGGTTTTCTCAAAAAGATCCATAGCCACTTCATTACTTTTTTCCGAGAATTTATGCCTTCCTTTTATCTCATTAAGTAGTTCTTAGACACTAAAGGGCTGAGATTCTGGTAATCCTAATATGGGGATTACTCTTCTAGATCAAGTCAGCAAACTAGTCCATGGGCTAAATCTGGCTACCCAGATGTTTTTGTACAGCCTGAATGAGCTATATGGATGATTTTATACTTTTTAAAGGGTTCTTTAAAAAAAAAAAAAAAAGACTATAATAGAGACCGTATGTAGCCCACAGAGGCTAAGATATTTACACAATCTGGCCGTTTTCGGAAAAGCTTTGCTGACCCCTACTCTCTACATGCCCAAGTTAGGAATTATACCATGGTATAATGAACATCTGATGATAGTATCTGCAATTTATACGTTCTTACTTAGTTTTAACAAACACTTTTAAATATCTATCATTTAAATGTCACAATAACCTAGTGAGGCAGGCTTTCATTATTTAAGTTACCTATACCTTAATTTAAATTCTTCCCACTGTCCAGTACTCATCCAACCTTGCATTTCCTAAGCACAACAGTGATAAGTCAGTAGTAAAAGGCAGTAACATAATATTAACCTATACAAAATAAGAAAGTGAATTTGCTGCCCAAACAAATTCATACCATCTGCCCAAATAAAGTTATTTTAAAAATGAAGATTAGGGAATAGTATGCTCTTAAAGATTGAACACTAAGGTTTTAGACCTGGCTTTATTACTATTTTGTGTAGTCTTGGGCCAGTCACTTAACATTTTTGATGCTCAGGGTCATGTGGAAAATGTGATACTCAGCTAGAAAATCCCTAAGGTTCTTTATTTTCCTAAAATTATATATTTTTTAATTCTTTCAAAATAAAGATTAACATGGTACTTTCCAAATGGTGGGCAAAATAATACATTGATAATTGTAAAAATTAAATTTAATATAGTTAGTTAACACATGTGCTGACAGAGAAAGATATCCATAAAATATTTAATGCATAAAGCTCAGTATGCATGGCATACTATTTAAATAAAGCTATATACATATATCCTATATATTTATATCTCTATAAAGAAATAAACAAAAGCTATTTCTGGAGCGTATGAATGAGATGAGTGGTCTCTCTCTTTTTACTTTATATACTTTTGGACTGTTGAAATATCAGTGAACATACAAAACTTAAGTTTTCTATTGAAATTTTATAGAAATGTCTCAAATTTATCTATTTAAATATAAACTGGAGAAAAATCCTAATTATCTAAGTCTGCTATTTTGGTAAAGTTAAGTTTCCTTCTAGTCTTACCAAGCTATGATTATTTTTAATATTGAGAAAACAAGTAACTGAAGTATCTGTTATATGTGACAGAAGTAGTCATTTTTAAAGCAATTTGATCATAAGATAAATACTTGCAGCCAAAATCTTCTAAGTTGTCTCCTTTTCCTGGAACTATAAAGTGTTAATTTTGTCTATCAATTAAATATTCACTGTATTAAATATTAAAAATTTGATCCTTCAAAGGAGCCATACACACTTTCTATATTCTTAAAGTCCCCTTCTATGAGTGTAAGAGACATGTATTTCAGAATGTGGAAGTGTCTACTGTATAACTTAGAATGACTCTTCTATAAATTAAAAAGCAAGTAAAACTCCAAAAGAAATTTAATTTTCACAATACCAGAAAAAAGTACCAAACTTTTGAGAATGAAAAGGACATAAAGCAGATAAAAATAGAAAGGTTAAAAAAGAAGAAAATCCTAAATCTCCTATCAAAGATTGATTGTCCTTGATGATGAATAAACTGAAGAATGGTGGGAAAAGGTTTGATATAAAAGTACCGTGTAGATGAAAGACCTGGCTCTTACCCTGACAATGACTGAGATATAACAAAGAAATTAAAGAAAACATGCCAAGTACTTAACCTCCAAGACAAAAAGAAAACATGTCATGTACTTAACCTTCAAGACAAAAGATTCATACTCAAGAAACTAAAAATATGGCTCAAAAGAGGACCGACCAAGTCATCATAATTTCTGAATTCAGCCTAACAAAAACATTCCCTATTTCAAAAAACCTTTGAAATTAATGGCATATTAGAAATACTTCACATAGATTACCTAATAAGTAAAAAGGTCTGTGATAGAAGTGTAGAATATTCCAAGAAACCCTAAGAAATATATGATGCTTTACATGATTAGTGCTATTTTCCTGCCCATCTCCCTTACCATTCCTCAAAAGACAAAAAAATAACTGCAATGAATAGCAGCAAGATTCGCTTCACTTGTTTTGAGATGGGAAAATTTGGGATGGCATTTATGTTTAATAAGAATACTTTAAATTGCACTTACCTGCTCCAAATAGTTCTTTGTGGACCTCTAATACCACAGCGACACCAATGTTATCTTTTGTCATCACTCTGTTCAGCATAGCTTCGGATCCGTCTGAATTAGCCATTGCCACTTGGTTAAATTCCACTGTATGCTTCTGTACCAATGTAAATCTAAAAGGTACAATACATTATTATGATGATTTTAGGTACTTGGACCACCATGCCAAGACATTAACTGAAGGGGGCACAAACTACAGATACTATTCACTGTTTCCCTCATTTTCTAGCTATAAGTGGCCATATGATACAATTCTTAGACATAAGAAGTCTGATTACTGTAAAAACTTTCTTGAAGGCCCCACGTAGCAATGATGACATATATATCAATTCACCCTTTTATATCTTTGTCCCTTCTAGCTAGTGCCTGGAGGAATAACCACCATCTTCCAACCATGTAGTAAGAAGTAGGAGGGTAAAAGCCAAGCTTCTAAGGATGGGAAAGCAACTGAACAAGTTCTGGACTGCCTATTTCTATACTTCTTTTTGTGTGAGAAAATTACTCTTCCCCAATTTGTTTTAAGCTACTGCTGGGATTTTCTGGTATTTAAAGGTGCACACAATCTTAACTGAGTCCTCGAGTTAATGAAAAAGAACAGAATAAATTATCTACCTACCCTGTTTGCAGTTTTATTCGTACCACATCAAAGCATTTGTCAAGAAAATGCAGAAACACACCCTCATCTCAGCTAAGGAGTAACAGATTTTCCCATCTGGCTTTTACTAGAAAGCTGCAATTGGGTATAAGTGTTCAGAGAAACAAATTCTGTTAGATGAAGAAACGGCTCTCCTTGTGATGATAGCTTCTGCACTAATAATAGCTTGGCACTAAGGAAAGAAAATACTAAGTATTGTAAAGTTGTTGGATTTAACAGAATTAGCCTAGCGCTGACATTTAATAGCAGTGTGACCTTCATCAAGCCATTTGCTATAGTTTAAATGTCCTCCCAAAATTCATATTGAAGCTTGATCACAATTGTAACAGTGGGAAATCTAACTACAGTATATGAAAGGTGGGGCCACTGGGAGGAGACTGAATTGTGAGGGCTCTGCCCTCATAAATGGATTAATTCATTCATGTGTTAATGGATAAATAGGTTATCATAGGAGTGGCACTGGTGGCTTTATAAGGAGAGCAAGTGAGCATGTTAATATGCTCTAGCGCCCCTCACCATGTGATGCTCTGCATAGCCTCAGGCCTCTGAAGAGAGTCGCAGCCAAGCAGAAGGCCCTCACCAGATGCAGCCCCTCAACTTTGGGCTTCCTAGCCTCCAAAACTGCACAATTTAAGTTTATGTTTTTAATACATTACCCAGTTTCAGGTAATTTACTGAACTATTTTCACTAGATATTATATGTAGAGATAACATCTTTGCCCTCATGCCCCCTTCCTCCCTACCTTCCTCCTAGCTTTGAAAACAGAAGCATGCAGATATCCCTTCAAAAATATTGACTAAAAGCTTACTATGCAAGCAGGATGCTGTGCTAGACAGAACAGTATTTCCCTCCCTGCTCCAGTTCTGAATGTCTCAGATGTGCTGAGAAGTGTGAAGGGTCAAGTCATGTGACTATTTCTAACCCAAAGTGCTTAAATGGAGTACAGTTTCCACCCTCTACTCTGAGGTGATCTTTAAGCTGAAACATGAAGGATGAGGAGTTACCAAGAAGAAGGGGATTAAGAGCATTCCAGACAGAAGGAAAAAGTGAAAGGTCCTGAGACAGCAAAGATCTTTATGTTTATGGGTTAGAAAAGAATGAAAGGGTATGAAAAGATGTTGAAGATGAGAGGAAGAGGAACAACTGAAAGTTCCAAGCAAGAACATGGTATTATTTGTTTTTTTCTGTCTGTTTTTTTTTCCCTTTTTGTCTTTTTTTTACTGACTGGTAACGGGATCGCAACCCTCGGTGTCACGCCCGTACCAGGGACCGGCAACGGGATCGCAACCCTCAGTGTTGTGCCCGCACTGCGCTCAGCCAGTGAGCGGGAACCGGTCTCCACATGGGATCCGAACCCTTGGTGGGAGCACTCTCCAGTGCACCACCGGGCCGGCCCGAACATGGTATTATTTGATTTATACTTTTAAAGATCACTCTAGCTGCTTTGTGGAAAATAGGTTACGGGGGCCAAAACAGGAATTGAGAGACCAATTAGAAAGTTTTTGAGGTTGTTTAGATGAGAGATGATGGTGTTAAGGCAAGAGAAGTAAGCAGATTCAAAATATGTTCTGTAGACAGGATTGACTACCCTCCATATCAGACTTCTTCAAACACTTTTAAGCAGTGGAATACCATTTTCCAAACAATTTCTGATAACATTCCTATATATAAAACAGATCAAAGCAGTATTATGTTAGAATAAATCAGTCACTGAAAATAGTCAATGTGTTTTGATGAATATAAAAATTTGAAATCAGAGGCTATAGATAATTGTAGCCTTATATCAGTCTCAGTATCCAACTGATTTCTGTATTTTGTTTTGGTTACAAAGTATTAATAAAGATCCTGATTCACATACATACACAGAGATAAGTGGCAAATAACTGGACTTGCACTCAGAAAAGGCAAGCAGACAAGCAGTAACCTGATTCAGAAGTCTGCACTAAAAACAAGTCAACTAAGCAGCACATCGGGAACATGCTAGTTATTTCCAAAGTGTTAAAATTAGGTTTTTGAAACATCTGAATGAATATGTTATTTTTAAATTACAGTTCAATTACTCCTATTTAATTTTTGAGATAACTTCTAAATATTCATAGAACTTCTAAGGCTTATTTATAGAAACCTTGGGTTCTGCAGGAAAGTTTAAAAATCCTGCTTAAGAGTAATATTTTTAGTATCGGAGTAATTTTACTTTACCAAAGTTAGGTCATTGTTTGGGGAGTAGGGAAGGAACTGCAATTCTTATTAGAATGTCTTTCTTAACTAAAAGTTGCTTCCCTGTATTTTTCTTCCATTTCTTCCATTAAACTTAGATCTAGATCTTTTGTTTAAAGAAATACAGAGCAAATCTAATTTCTCTTCCATGTGACCACTTTAAATATCTAACAATGATGTCAATGCTCTCCCATCCCAAGTCTTCTCTGGAAAAGAAATGATCAATTCTTTAAATGACATATGGTGGTAAAAGTTGTTCACTGGAAAAATTTGAGTTTACCCAAAGGTGCAGTACCTAGAACTGGGCATAAATGAAATACTGCCTCCTTCATTTTTGACTATATATTTTTAATAAAGACTAAAATTGTACTTTGGGAACAGCCATATTAATTATAAGCCAAATAGAAACTAATATATATCTAAAATTTTTGGTCTTTTCATTCTTAAACCAGATCTCCTCAGTCCTGCATTTATAGGTGCTTAAAAACAAAAAAGTGGGAAAAAAGTATTTTATTAAGTTAAATATTATATTGTAGAGATCTTGGAACAAGGAAAATTATTTAAAAAGGGGGGGAAAAAGTATTTTATTAAGTTAAATATTATATTGTAGAGATCTTGGAACAAGGAAAATTATTTAAAAAATTAAAAGTCACTTATATAACACAACACCTCTATTAACAAGTCAATGTATTTCCCCAGACTTTTCTCTATGCATATGCACACATATATTTTTACACAATTAGGATAACAGTAAGTTTATATTCTACCAGGGACATTGCCCTATAACATTAAATATTCTTCAAAATTAATTTTCATGACTGCATTATAGTCCACTATACAGATTGGCTATAATTTATTTAGTGTGTGTTAGACACTTAAGTTACTTCTGATACACATTATTAACTAATGCATTGATAAACATTTTTGCATATAAACATTTTTCTGTACTCACAGTTGATTTTCTTATCCCTCCCTCTTTTTCTTCCTTCCATTAATAATCTAAAAGCAGAAAACTTTATCTCTGTTAAGTATCATTACATGAGTTTCTGCTCATTAGTCACTCATTCAGATATTAAGGGCACTTTGAAACTCCATTCTATTTTTCTAACAGATTAAATTTCACTGCCAGTTTTGGGGCATTTAAAATGCTGTGTGCATGTATTCTATTTCTTTTCAAATAATTAAAATTTTCAATAGGACAGAATAACAAAAATAATAAAAGCTACCCATTACTGAGGATCTACTTTGTAGCAAGATCTATGATAGGTACTTTGTACTAAAGTCTTAAAATTTGCACATGGAGATATACTGCCTAGACTGCTCATTAGTCAGTAGGGATTGCTTCAGTTGCAGAGAGCTGCCTACCTAAGTTCACACACTTCTGGGATCACCCACACCCAAATACAGATCAAAAGCAAAGATAAAGGTCCTGTGATTTTGACCCCTGGTGGTTTAACTTTCACAGGCCATGTCAGCTCCAAAGGTCCTTATGGGGTCAGCTGAGGCTGCCAGGTCTGCAACACAACTCCACTTCTATGTCCGATCTGCTTCCTCTTCTTCCTTTCTACAGGTGCTGATTCCTAATAGACTTCTGAATATCAACTATCTCAGAGTCTTCTGGAGAATTCAAATTGCAACACAAGGTATCACTATTCCCATTACAAAGATGAAGAAAACTGAGGCTGAGCAAGTCTTTCTTTCTGAAAAATGGGATAGTTCATCCATCTCCCAAATCCTAAAACTTTTCCTATTCTCCAATATTCACAGTAGATTACCCATGCCAGTTCTCTAACCACACTTTCGGAAGACCTTTAATACCATAAGATATAATTATCTTCATCTGGAAACCTAAATAGTTAAGGCAGTTTAGTGACTCTTGGCTTACCAATCTCATCTTCTTGGTTAGCCAATCTCCTCTTCACCTGGTATTTCTACTTTAAAGAGAATGCTCAATAGATACCATGATAGCAAAACAGAAACAGTATATTTATTTTCTCTTGACTACCAATTAGTGATTGCACGATCTGCAATGGATCTATCCTGTTCTTATTACATAAAATACCCGCCTCATGGCTTTAGTACTTTTACCAAGCCTTTGCTAATTAATTTTCCTGGTAATGATCATAGGTTTCTAAAACTTCCTTATTTTCTCTTGACTACCAATTAGTGATTGCACGATCTGCAATGGATCTATCCTGTTCTTATTACATAAAATACCCGCCTCATGGCTTTAGCACTTT